CCCCGAGAACGTGCCCCGAGAAAATTCGACCGGTCGGTCGGTCGGTCCATTTGCATGCTCGTCTTTTCCCGATCCCTCTCGGATATATTCTCTCCTTTCGGATTCCGCCTACGATCTGTTCGTCCAATAACCAAAAAATTTCTCACCGTCTCCCTTACTATTCGCTTCGTTTCGCGATCGAAAGCTTATTCTGGAATCCTGATATTCAGTTCGCGTAGGTCTGTGCTCGAATATTATTCACGCCCGATAAAAGTGTTAGATCCTTGTTGAGCCTTCCTCCGTTAGCTCAATCCCTTTCACTTCAATTAAGTTTAATTATAGCTCATCAATTCTATGGAATGCAATCCTTTTCCGAAACTATCTTTATAAAATTATTTCAATAAAGTAACATTTCTTCTTAAACTATAAATGATTTTTATTTAAAAATATTAAAAATTAACTACTAAATTATTAAAAAGAAAATAAGAAAAGTTTTTATTTTATTCTATCTTTATTTTTATAATATTCATTATTATTACTTGTAAAAAAAACTATTAATATTATTTAGAGATAGAATAGATTAAATAATGATTAATAATCGTAGTAATATATATTATGCAAATTACAATTGTCTTATTCTATTTTTGGATGTGCAAATATACGAGCATGAAACATGTTCTTAGAACTTCAGAAAAAAAGAACATCTAAATAAGATGTATATTCGGGCGTTGATATTTATTTCTTCCTTGTTTTGTACGTGATAAAAAGCGTGAAAAATGACAATTGATTGAGGAAAACCAGATTGCTGTTCTCTGAATATTTACGTGTCCAGCCTGAGCAACATAATTACACGCAAAACGACGCGCCATTATTGCAGCGCTCATGCAATTTATGCGACGTGCAATTTCATATTCCGAATTGCATCCGAAAATTAAAAGAGTCTCTGTAATTTATCCTGACAAGCCAATATCAGAGAAAGAAACTCGTCGCTCATTCTTCACTGAACTTGGCTGTAGAATTTGCGTAAGTGCGAAGAACCGGTTAGAAAATGGTTTACTAGATTAAATTATTTTATAAAATAAAGGTAGCTTCGTTACTTTTTAGCGACAAATAAACTACTTTCTTAAATAACATAGGTAATATGTAATGTTTTCTATATTACATAAATTTCGCAAATAATTATACGACGCGATTTTTATTATTATTATTATCATTCTCGTGATTATTATGAACGTTAAATGTATTCGTTTAACAAAATTAGTTTTGCAATAATCTTTTCGATAATGTCGAGTTGGCCACCACTGTTCACTTTCTCCGGGCGAGAGAACCCTTTGGCATCTCATCCCCTTTGGCTCGGCTCGACAGCCCGACTCACTCTCGCTCTCGATTCGCTCTCACTCGCCTCCCCGTGCCTTGCCACCCTACGGCTCCGCCGCGGCCACCCCGTTGCACCCTTCTACATCAACCCTCGCTTCGTCCCGGCGTCTTCTCCCCTCCCTGCCGGCAAGTGAGAGTGGACCTTGGTCCAGCGCTGAATCGACCCTCTTTGCAACCTCCGTCTGACTCCGCGCTCACCCTCGCGATTCCACGACCGCTCGTTCCTTCCTTTCCACCCCCGTCGCTCCTCCATCCCCGTGGCCGCCAGCGCCGACGACGACGACGACGACGACGATTTCTCCGCACGTCGCCGCACCCTAATCCCCATCTCGAAGATACGTCTACCCTCAAAACCTCGTATCGATTGGCAGAAGCAACGCCAGAGAGCGCCACCTAAAGCCACCCCATGGCTCTCGCTCTCTTTCTCGACCATCGACCACCCCTGAAATTTCAAGGAAAGCGCGGAAGATCAGCAGTTTCGATTTCTTCAACTCAAGACACATCAGGATATTTAACTTTGAAAGGGAAAAGAAATGAGAATCTTACAAGTCTTCCAACGTTGTCAACGTCAATCCGTTATAGCCTAATACATTTTTTACAACATGCGTAAATATTTTAAAACGTCATTTTAAAATGATGGTTACGCGATGATTACTTCAAAGCGCAATTTTTCTTTGTAATTATGATAATTATAACGACATATCAATTAAATACATATTAATTACGAGAAACTTTACTAATTGTCTTCCACTTACTCCACCGATTTATTTTACAAACGGACGGCAATTATTCTTATGCATAACCATTATTACACTTTCCCAACCCGTGGATCGTAATCCAATTCTATCTAATTGGAATTCTGTAGTCTCATTCACTAACTTTTGCTGTATTCGTGACGTGCTTTGTACCGGGCGGTGCACACATTTGCATCGAACAATGAATACTTCTCTGATATACTAATTCGTGAGCAAGTAGCCGCGAGCGTTCTCATTGCAGGCCGGTTCTGGCAAGCAATTAAACGGTGTTGCGGGCCACTTTCGCGCGAATTTTCGCGTGTGGCCAACCGACATCTGCGAGTTGCGCGTGTGGCTATGCGATGGTAGTTCGAGTAAATGTTGGGATAATTGGGGCGAATCATGCGAGGTTTGCCGAGCGCCCTTTCATCGGCGCCCAGGCTTTCTCACTTGCGGCGACTTCAAAATACGCGATGTGAATGTTAGGAATGCAGCGGCTTCGATTTTAATGAGGGAATTGAGAGAAACGTCGCAAACAATGTAAAACGCCGCAACAGGAGAGCTCGTCCTTTTATATACCATTAGCGAATTATGTGCTTTACGTGATAAAATAATGTTCCTTAATTATATGAGGCATATTCCACTTCATGGATGTTAAATCTATATGGGAATTTTATGGTAAGAAGAATACGCGACGTGTTTACTTACGTATATGACTAGAATTGCACGCTATCTTTTCACTCACGGTTTTACTTTTATTCGGTCAGAAAGAATCTTTTTCGTAAATATTCAAGATAAGGATTACTCCGCGGAATTTGTTGATATCAACTGTGATTTTTGCCGCAGAAATCAAATGTGACAGAGAAGGAATGTTTCGCAATAAATCAAGGGAATATAATCCAGTGAATTTATTTAATAAAATTTGCCGAAATTTCTTCGATTCTAAATTTATATTTTTCAAAGAAAGAAAGATATAAGATAATAAATAAATGTTATTTGCATAATTTTAAACGATCTGGATGAGAAATTTATTCAGAATTTATGAAGAATTATATGGTGGTTAACGATCGTACATTCACTTCAGACGGTACAGTATACCAATAAAAACATTGTTAGATTCATTAGCTAGTTTTATTACACTGCGACGGTTGTTGAAAGAGCAGGTAGATGATCCGTTTCAAGCACAAAATAGCATTTTGCGTGGACAGCGGTCGTGGGGTCGAATACACCCACTTGTTAATGTCACGAGATCGATTAATGGCCGATTGGCGGAGATACACGGTCGGCCTCTCACTTCCGGTCGGAGGAGTCGCGTCGTTACGACACTCGCGCTTCCACGTCGCGAATTCCATCGTCTCGTTTCGACGGTGGGTCGTCGGCGATCGTTAAAAAAAAGAAGGCAATTAGCGTCGGGCGCGTTTGATCGCGTCGTAAAATCCATCGGCGCGTTCCGCCCCCGCCCCCTCCGTTGTCTCCGCTTGTTTTCTTCTTGTTTTTCTTCCGGCGCGGCCGTTAACGGAATGGCAATTTAACAGCCGATAAAGTCCGGCGACGGCGGTGGGGATAGATAAGGTTTCCTGATGGCGTCCCGAGGTTGCCGGGATAGGAAGGACGTTATGACGAATTAGGCCACCCTCGCTCCTGACACCGCCAGAAAAAGGGAGGAGGACCTACCCTATCCCAACGAGAGATATGTTCGGGGCGTCGTTAGCTAGGTCGATGGGCGATTTATTTGATGTTGTCTGGCCGAAGGTGATACGTTACTACTGCGTGGTTAACGAGGTAAACCCTTCAATCTCGCGAAATCCCAGACTAACCCCTAAATTGTGATTTCAGGTACGTTTTTAGAACTGGATTTTACGTGTCTTAAATGCCGCAATGAATTCTAAGCGTTTCCTTTCCGCACGAATTATGTTAAACAATTCATAGTGACGACTAATGAATAATAATAATTGTAATAATAACATAAATGTTACGGGTAATATATTAACAAGAGAATATATTTTATGTTAAAAAGATTAAGCTTTATAAAGTAACAAGTACAATTATCGTTTTGAAAAATTTTAATTAAAATGTTTTTGAGAATATCTTTTTATTGGAATTAAATATATTGTTTATTATTATTTTATTAGCTTCGACTTTAATAAATATCTTTTGAATAGCGTTGATCACTATTAATCTGCGCTTAATCAAACGTATTCAACTATTCTACACGTTATAATATAAAAGAAAGATTAAGATGAAAGTATACGTTTTATTTGTAACCTCACAAATCTCTTTTGAAGACTTTAAAATGTGCGCACCGTAAGTCATTTAAAAGACATTCCGCATCTTGATCCGCAACCGCGAGTTTTCCCAAAACGTCTGATGTCTGCGTTAACTCTATTTGCGATTTTAAAATTCAATGAGCCAATCCGATCGCTGACTGTAGACCTTCTCTCTGTGCGAGGGAGAAAGATGTTGGAAGAGAGGAAACGAAACAGAGAGGGATGTGCTCTTTGTGATACCGTTAACGGGCCCTCTTCGCCCTCTCGAAGCCTTGGCAGATCAAAAGCATCGATCACGCTCGACGGCCAACTTTTCGATTGAACGTCCTTAATGTACGAAGTCGTTCTGCGATTCGTTTAGCATGCGAAATTTTCTAATTAATGGGATTGACTGCTATTATGAATTAC